AAGGTGGCGCAGTGGATAGAGTGCAGTACTGCAGGCGAAACAGCTGACTGTTATCTGCAGTTCAGCGGTTCAAATCTCACCGGCTCAGGGTTGACTCAGCCTTCCATCCTTCCGAGGTGGGTAAAATGAGGAGCCGGATTGTTGTTGGGGGCAATATGCTGACTCTGTAAACCGCTTAGAGAGGGATGAAAGCCCTATGAAGCAGTATATAAATCTAACTGCTATTGCTATCAAAAATAATGATGGGATAAAATCTCCGTCCGCATACTAAAGGTCGGTGTAGCTTTAGTAAAGAATGGGGAAAATAAAATTTCAGTATGTACATCCTCATTTGGAAGCGTGTCTAGTAAATGCATTGCATTATGCTATTCTGCTTTTGTCTGCAAAAATACTCTGGAGAGTAGGGGGTTGCCTCACCTTGGCCACTTTTAAGACCTGTGGACTTCAATTCCCAGAATTCCCCAGCCAGCACAGGGAATTCTGGGAATTGAAGTCCACAAGTCTTAAAAGTGGCCAAGGTGGGGGACACCCCTGATGTGGAGGCTCTGCTAGTGCAACCTACAAACTGAAGCGTGGTATTTGAGGGAGTCTTCCCCTATTTTCTTCTTTTCTCATCTGGGAATTAAGGAGGCAAAATACCAGACGTATTTTTCCATTTCCCTACTTTCCAAATTCGGAAAGCCCTAAGGCAGCCAATCCCAGGGGCCGACTGGTTGGGCCAGCTCCCAGAGTCCCTTGCGACGCTTACGTTTCCTAGCGCAAAATACGAAAAAGAGGGGGGTGAGTCACGGGGGACAGAGCGCGCACGGCCCTCTGGGAAGCGCAGTCCACGTGAAGCTTCTCCGCTCCGTTTGTTTATATTGGTCTAGGCGCATGCGCGCTCCGCCGCTTTCCCCCCCCCCCTGCTCCATCTCGTTCGGTCGCTGACGTTCCCCTCGCGCGCGCTCGCTCGCTCGCAATCGCTCCTCGCTTGTCTGTTTTTTGAGAAAATGGCTGCCGTACGCCGCGCTCGCAGTGACTCCCGCTGCGTAGTCCGCTTCTCTGACCGAGAACTCTGCTAATTTTTTTTCTATCCCTGTCTTGGTAACCCGCTCGAGAGGGAGGTGAATAAAGAGTCCGGAAAAAAAGAGGGAGACAGAGAGACCCGACGGGCCGTTGAGAGGCGGCGGCAACAACAACCTTCAACCAACCGGGACAAGGCCGCCCCCCCGAGTTCGAAAACGGCCACAGCGCTGCCGTTTGGCGACGGTTGGACGGACGGCCTGGCTGCCTCAGCCGCGGCCTCAGCATGGTGAGGGGAGGGGCTGCGGGGCGGGTGCGCGTGACGAGAGCGCGAGGAGGGGTGGGGTGGGNGATTTGAACAGCCGAACTGCAGTCAGCTGAAGTAGCCAACATGCCTGCTTTATTAAATTGGAACTTTAAGCATCGTTTTGCCTTCGATTCCAATTTGATTCTACATGGTTTTTGGAACTCTTACACCTGGTTTCTGGAGCGCATGGTTTCCAGCTGGTCATCGCAGACGCCGGAGCGCCTGAAAATGGCTGAAAAACGGCCTGAAAAACAGCTGGAAAATGCCCCTCAAAACGCCCCCAAAAATAGGTACACGCATGCCAGCCAGCTAGTCTTCAAGTTTCCGGTGCGCACACATGCGCACGTGCTCCGGTTTGGGCACTTGGTGCCGAAAAGGTTCACAATCATTGCTCTATAGTAATTCCACTGAGCTGCAACTTAAGTGTTCTATCAGGGCTCATGAGTTTTCTTATCTCATTGGATGACTTTTTATAGTGTGCTGAGCCATTCACTGGATTCACCCACACTTCTTATCTATCAAGTTGTTAAACAGAATTTATGGAAAGACTATATATGGTTCGTGCATTGTGCTAAGCCCAACCTGGTCAGATTGGATGATGGTTGTGCAATCTACCCAACTGGACTCAGTTTTATGATTCAGTCGGTGGTGTAAAGTTAAACAACAGTGGTTTATTCATAAACCACACTTACGCAGAACAAAGCTTAAGACAATGAATGAACACAGACTCTGAAGTTGTATAACACAAAGTACTCATGAACCATTAAACATCTGTATTTGTTTAATCATCTCTTAATTTTCATGTAGTTGTGGTGAAAATCTGCACGGTCTGTAGGAGTCAAACACAACTTGATGACATTAATTAATTAATCAATCAATTCCACATAACCTGGCTGAAATAAAACCAGTGCAGCCCACTGGTAGCTTTCAACTTACTGTCAGGCCTGCAATTATATTCCTACGACACTTTCTCTTATTTCATTATGCTGTTTCATTAGTATAGTTGATGGGAGGGGGGAATAGAAGGAATAGGATTGTGGAATGTATTGTTTTCATTCTTTTCTAGAAGCCAAGGCCATCTTTTGTCTCCGCACTTTCACATCTGACCGGAAGCAGCTGGGTGTGGATGCCAGCGTGGAAGAAGAAGATTGGACCATGTGATGGATTGTGGGTGTGGGGACAAGATCATGAACTTTTAACTGGGTGGGATTCTGATGTAATTCCCAGTATTGGGATTTCATAGCATAATTCCAAGATGTCTGATTTATTAAATTGGAACTTTAAGGATCGTTTTGCCTTGGACTCTGATTTAATTCTACATGATACTTGGAACGCTGACATTTATGGTCAGTTGGCTACTGCCTGTTCAAAATTATGACAGATTTACCTGAGGCCTACTCATGACCCAGATTTGAAGTTCTAATTGTCACTCTCCCCTGGTCCAAATTTCAGGGGTCTTGTAACTGGGCTGCATTTACCAGTGTTTGTAGTACCCTGCGGTCACATGACTGCATTGTGCTACAGTTTTGCCCAAAACTGGCATTTACTTTGTTTTCAGCAAAATCATGCCCAGAGTAAACCACTGGTTCGCTTAACAACCATAGTATTCACTTAACCACAGCAAAACAAATCACAACTTAGAACTGTGATGGACAAGCACCATTATGGTTGTAAGTTGAGGACTATCTGTACAAATGTGGAGCAGATATAAAATGCCTTGGATTCACTACAAGTTAATAAATGCCTTCCCTATTGAAAATGCTGAAGCCCCTATGCTAAATCAAGGAAATCTTGTTGCTGAAAGAATCTTCAAAAGTTTCTCCCGACAGAAAATGCCAGTTTTATTTCAGATAAAATGGAAGCCGTTTCAAATTTACTATTGGGTGGCGCAGTGGTTAGAGTGCAGTGCTGCAGGCTCTTTCTGCTGATCACCAGCTGCCAAGCAGTTTGGCAGATTGAATCTCACCAGGCTCAAAGTTGACTCAGTCTTCCGTCCTTCCGGGGTTGGTAAAATGAGGAGCCAGATTGTTGGGGGCAATATGCTGACTCTGTAAACCGCTTAGAGAGGGCTGGAAAGCTATATACGTCTAAGTGCTACTGCTGTTGCTTCTATGGTTAAGCCAAGAATGTATGGGCAGAGGTCTCAAGAACAGCTTAACATCATGGTGATTAGAGACACCGAGCTGATTTTGAATTAGTGAAGTCATGACGTAGACGTGTTTCTATTGGGTCTACCTTATCTCTTCATAGCCAACCAATCCAGCTGGTCCTCCTAATCCTCAATGTAATGAGGGACAAGAGCAGGGTTTCCTAACCTTGGCAACTTTGTGGCTCAACTCCCAGAATTCCTTAGCCAGCCATGGGGAATTCTAGGAGCTGGAAGTCCATGCATCTTAAAAGTTGGCATGGTTGGGAAGCCCTGCATTAGAGTGATCGATACAGAAAGGAGTCCCTCGCCCTTTTTTTTAAATCAGTCCTGTTGCATATGCTCAAAGCTGGATTCTACTTCATTATTTACCTAACAGAAAAGAAAATTCAAACAGAAGTATCAATAATTGTCACTAATAATCCAATTAATAAGACTTTAACTTAAGTATTTACCACCGTGTTGAAACATAGTCTGTGTAGGGAGGTCTAGATCTAATTTCACGGGCAAGGCCAAAATCTGCTATTTTCACAAGTTCTGGTCCCATGCAAAGGAGATTCTCAGGTTTTAAGTCCCTGTGGAAAAAACCTGTGTGGAAAGACAAACTCTGGTTAGGCTTTTCTCTCATCCTTCTGCTTAAGTTTTCACCTTATAGGCCTTTTTTTTTTAAAGAATTACAAGAATGAACAGTGCAGAAAACATCAAACTACATTTTCGCTTATGTCATACTGGATTGCTGCTCTTCCTTTCATTTTAGGCTGAGAGGTTTTTAAATTAGAAAAAAAAGGTTATTTGGTTATGCTTTAAGTTTGGAGGTAAAGAGCAGAACAAATACCTTATTAAACAAAAGTAAGCATGAACGTGAGTTATTTCTGAATAGAAAGCAAAAAATAGTTACACTGACTATATATATAGACTCCATAAGGACAGCTGAAGAATCTATGCTTTCAAATTGTGGTGCTGGAGAAGACGCTTGAGAGTCCCTCGGACGGCAAGGAGGTCCAATCGATCCATCTTGAGGGACCTCAACCCTCACTTAGGACAGATACTGACGCTGAAGAGCAAAATATTTGGCCACCCAATGAGTGGATTCCTTGGGAAAAAATCCTGATGTTGGGGAAGATGGAAGGCAAAAGGAGAAGGGGAGGGCAGAGGATGAGATAGTGTCATCGACACATCGGGCATCAGATTAGGCAAACTCCAGAAGACAGGAGCCCCTGGTGTGCTATGGTCCATGAGGTTGCAAAGAGTCGGACACAATGTAGTCACTGAACAACAACAACAACAAAAAGATTCCTGGGTTTTATGTATAAAATATTTAAAATTTGGAATGATACTAGCATGTTACTGTTATTAGCCTGAAACAATAACAGCAACACAGCTTGCTATTTATTTTCCCATTGTAGCTTCCTGACTTAAAAATGAGATCATTGTTGGGATTATCAACTCTTAAATCTGTTTATAGGATAGATCAGTTTAACAAAAGAACGGATGTAAATAATACATTTTGTACAGTGCAGCTCTATGTCAGCTGACCTGAAATCAGTTCTGTGGATTGTGATGGGATTCAGAACTATCACTAAGAAGTAACTATTTATTTAACAACAGAGCTGTTCGGAAAACCTTGATGATAACATTGTTTAGTTCCCTGAACCCAAACAAGACGTTTCTGTCCAAATACATCTGAGATACTCCCTTCTGTGATACATGCAGAAAATCATCCAATTTGTCATTTAAACCTTACCATGTTTATGTATGAATGCAAGGCCTTGAAGAATCTGATACATAATATTCCTGACAGTGGACTCTGGGAACAATTTGTTCCTGTAAAGCAGAAACAGAACTCAAAGTTAATATTCACATATGAGGTTTCTTATCTGCAGAGTCCAGTGGTGGGTTTCAAATTTTTTTAGAACCTCTTCTGTAGGTGTGGCCTGCTTTGTGGGAGTGGCTTGCCAGCCATGTGACCGGGTGGGAGTGGCTTGCTGGCCATGTGACCAGGTGGGAGTGGCTTGCTACCATGTGACTGGGTGGGCATGGCCAACTTGTAAAATGTGGTGAAGCTCACTTAACAACGCTCTTGCTTAGCAACCAAAAT